AGGGCCGCGTGTGCAGGCTGAGGTGGCGACAGGGACCCGCTCCCGCCGACCGCCCCTCCGCACCCGCAGGGCACACATGGCACACGGAGCTGTGCGAGTTCGATAAGGTTACCCTGCGGGAAAGCTGAACTTGCTGCTGTCATGCAGTGACAGAGACCCGTATTGGGTCCCAGATGCAACTCTAATTATGCAGAAAGAGCTTCTTGGGACAGTGTGTAAAAATTAATTTCTCACTTCGTTTGAATTACTTCTCCTGCATTTCATTCACAAAACCAGACCAGAGAGTTTAATGAAAAAAACCACAGTGCTATGGTAAAGAAAACCCAAATTGGCAATAATCAGTTGTAAAAAAACAGTGTACTTTTTAGTATTGTCCTTCTCACATACCTCTCCCATCTTCTTTGTCTGTTTCTTTGCCTTATTTTTTCATGTCCTCTTCACAGGAAAGAATGAGTATGACCTTCTGGTCATTGGTGGAGGCTCTGGAGGCCTTGCTTGTGCAAAAGAAGGTTTGTATGCATAAATAACACAAGTTTTGCTTTAGCTTAAGTGGTGGTATACTTCAATTAATCATTAACTTAGCTCCATACACTTAATCTGCAAATTAATTCACACCCTCAGTGGAGTGATCATGTTTGGCTTTCCTGTTGACCTTTCCAAAAGTATTTTTCTTTAGTCATGAGAAAATCTAATTTCACTGTTGTATAATACTCAGAGTACCTCCACAGATACTGTATTTTTTTCAAGTTATAGTTTCTCGTTTATGTGTTAAAACAACAAAAATCCCTTCAGACTGTTTCCAAGAACTGTTTAACTGCTGTAGAGAACCTTGGCCCTTTGTATCTTGGTGTAATGTGTTAAACAACCGACAGTGTTCTCGAACATCTCATTTGTGGTCAAGTTGCAACTTTAGGGTCAGTGAAAGGTGAAAGCTTTAGTCTGGGTTATTGAGTGTCTTCTGGAGAATCTGCTACTTAGGCAGGTTGGGTCCCTGGTATCTTGAGTGAGACTTGGAGAATCTGCTACTTAGGCAGGTTGGGTCCCTGGTCTGGTATCTTGAGTGAGACAGTAAAAGTCTTTATCTCTTTACTCTTTTTCTCTATCTGTGCTGCTAAATACATTCAGGTTTATATGTTTCTGCCTCCTCTGAATACCTTATCTTTTTGGTTTAAAGCTGCTCAGTTTGGAAGAAAAGTGGCTGTTTTGGATTATGTGGAACCTGCTACTTAGGCAGGTTGGGTCCCTGGTCTGGTATCTTGAGTGAGACAGTAAAAGTCTTTATCTCTTTACTCTTTTTCTCTATCTGTGCTGCTAAATACATTCAGGTTTATATGTTTCTGCCTCCTCTGAATACCTTATCTTTTTGGTTTAAAGCTGCTCAGTTTGGAAGAAAAGTGGCTGTTTTGGATTATGTGGAACCTTCCCCACAAGGTATGGAAGATAAATAGTGGGGTAATAATTGGCAGTGTGTATAAAGTGGTTGTGTAGGTGAGCAGACTGATCCAGACAGCAAAGTGGCCAAAGCACACTGCCTGCTTTGCTTGTAATAAAAGTCCTTAGGCCCAGCTTGTGGTGTGACTCATTCCCTCCAGGATGTCCTAACTGTTCCTGCTTCTCCTGCACATTAAGGTTGTTAGCAGTGTTTGGTGCTACCCTTTGTAGTAGGCTTTGGACTTAAATAGATGACAGTGGTCTCTCAAAATGTTATTTGCTGTTTGTAAGAATTATTAATTATGTCATGTTGAGGCTCTTCATGTATGATGTATAAAATTAGATCTGCAAATGTGTATATGCTGTAACTGGAACTTCTAAGCTCAGTGAAACATCTTGAGATGGTTTGAATTTTAGAAGAAAAAGATACAGAGATGGTTTTTATCAAAGCAAATGAACATAAACAGAATTTGAAACTGATCTGTAGGAGATGTATTGTTTCAGAACTTTTTAACTGCCATGAACCCAGTTGCATTAAGTTACACTAATCTGATGCATTTGCACGTTTTTCTTTCCTTTTTATTTTTCCTCCCAAGGAACCACATGGGGACTTGGTGGAACTTGTGTGAACGTTGGCTGCATTCCTAAAAAGCTTATGCACCAAGCAGCCCTTTTGGGGAGTGCCCTTAAAGATGCCCAACACTATGGCTGGAATATAGCCCAACCTGTTCATCATACCTGGTAAGGATTATTGCCCATCTCCACTCTTATGTGCTGCAAACGCGTAACAACTTTTCCCAGCTGGTGTTTATTTAGGGACACTTAGGGAAGTGAATTTTGCATGTGAAATTTTAGCCTGGTCCTTGTTTAAAACACTAAACTGTGTTTACTGGTTTCTCAGGGCAGATGTTTGTTAGTTTGGACTTCATCATTTACTTTTATAACTAAAAGTACTGTAGAACATTCCTAATTTTGATTCTTAGAGTTGCACAATCTGAATTTGTAGTGTGATGACTTCATGTTCGGTTTCTTGTTTTGTGATAGGTCTGTGATGGCACAAGCTGTTCAGAATTATGTGAAGTCCTTGAACTGGGGACACAGAGTGCAACTGCAAGACAAGTAAATGAGAATTTGAAGTTCATGTTTCTTGCTGTAATCAAGGAGCTGCTCTTCTTGTAGAATTTCAGAATTTCCCTTGAAGTTTCTCACTAGAACTAGTATTTTGGGTTTGTAAGTCCTTTCTGTTCAGGGCTGTAAGTGCCCTTGTCAGTGTGGATGGTCTCTTCCCTCCCACCTTCCTTTGCTTTTCTAGAACTTCCCTCCCACCTTCCTTTGCTTTTCTGGAGCATAGTGGTTGACAGTGGCCATATATGAAAGCTTTCCAGCAGTGTAGAGACCAGGGGACGCTGTCTTTAATTGGGAGAGGTTTTGCATTAACATGAAGGAGTCAGGGTTTCTTAACATACTTTTGATGTTGTCCCCCAAAATTTCTATGCCATAGAAGCCCACAGGTAACACTATGCTAGAGCAGCAGGGTTTTTTTGCCTTCAGTGCAGAAATGGTTCCAAGTTTTTCAGCATACACTTCCTTTTTATATAGAAATTATATTAATAGATAATTTAACAGGTTCTAGTCTCGTGAATCCTGTGGAGTCTCTTTTGTGTGCTCTCAGATAAGCATTGTATTAGTAATGCTATAAATAGTAATAATAATGCTGTGGCTAGTGGAAAATGTCATTTGAAGAGGTCAATAACCTGATCCCAAAGTGTGTTACAAGATTAGTTACTGTGCTGTATAGAGGAGCTAACTGTGACACAAGCATTCAGTGACATATTTCGTGACAGAGCTGCAGACAGTCCTATGAGATGACATGCTCTCTTCCTTTCACTGTTCTGTGCCTGTTTGCTATCCTTTTCAGCACTTCAGGTGTGGAAAAAGTAGCTGATTGTACTTCATACCTGTTCTTGATTGTGTGTATTGCTGATGCTGTTTTCTTGTAAACAGGAAGGTGAAATATTTCAACATGAAAGGGAGTTTTTCTGACCCACATACAGTCCGTGGTTTAACAAAAGCAGGTAAAGAGGTGAGCTGCTCTGCTGGTGTCTACAGTATCATTCACTTCAAACATTTCAGGTCAATTGGGGGCTAGATTGTCCTTTTGCAAATTGCTTGAGGTATCCAATGTTGTTTTGATGAGGGAAATGTGCATTTTTACCTTGAGAGAAGTTGTTTATGAACTTGACTGTTGCCTACTGAGCCCCTGGCCTGACCTGTCAGGGGCCATTGCTTTTCTCTGCAGATAGAAATGCTGAGGCAAAAGATTCTATTTGATTTGGGCAGTCATACTGCTTTAAGAAATTATTACAGATATGTAAAGAGGACCAACATCTCCTTATTGCTTTGAGCATTAGGTCAGTCTGAGATGTTTTCCTCTGTCAGATGATTTGTAAGGGTGATTAGCTTTCTGATACCAAATGGTGTGTGGGAGGCAAGTACAGTGAGTGCACAGCTCAAACAGCTGGGACAGGTGATGGAGTGGTGGCCATTGCTGCGTATTTAACAAGACTGAACATGCAGTTTTAACACCTTTTTGAGGGTAATTATTTAATGTTACTGGTTAATATCAGCTTGAGAGAGCAGAAGTTTTTGGGGGCAGATGCCTAGCAATTTCTAAAAACATGCTGCTTTTGAAGTAGTTTAACTCCAGACCTAGGAGATACAATTCGCTTGCTGTGATTTCTGTGTGCTTTGTCCTAAGCAGAAAGTGATTTTAAAAAGTTGTCATTTGTGCACAACTCTTGCTTCTAAGTAGTCCTCATCATCTTGCTCAGGATAAGAACACTCGTAAGCTAAACCAATTGTAATTAGACCAAAACCTGATTGAGAATGGGTAGGAGAAACTCCTGCATGGATTAGTTTATCTCTATCCTTTTTTAATGCAGTGCTCATTATTATGTCATATAAATAGCAGCCAGTAGTGCCAGCTTTGTCATGTCTCAGTCCTAGATGAAATGTAAAGACAAATAAAGATTTCAGATGCTTCATTTTGATTTCTAATTTTTGTTTGTAGACTATTGTTACTGCAGAAAATATTGTTATTGCTACTGGAGGAAGACCAAAATATCCTACACAAGTAAGTTACCTTTCCATCTTATAACTCCAATGGCTTTACTGGTTTTGTTGCAGATAATAATGTCTGTTTGGAGGGTAAAGTATGTAAATATAAAGTAACACTTGAGACATTTTTGTACTTGTGTCATGTGAAAAATTGTCTGATATAAAGCAGAGCTTTTCAGAAAAACATTTCCATAGAGATAATTTGCAGCAATTTAGTATGTTGATGTTGCTTAGAGCTGTAGGATAATTCAGATTGGAATTGATCTCAGATAATAATGTCTGTTTGGAGGGTAAAGTATGTAAATATAAAGTAACACTTGAGACATTTTTGTACTTGTGTCATGTGAAAAATTGTCTGATATAAAGCAGAGCTTTTCAGAAAAACATTTCCATAGAGATAATTTGCAGCAATTTAGTATGTTGATGTTGCTTAGAGCTGTAGGATAATTCAGATTGGAATTGATCTCTGGAGGTCACTCAGCTTCCTGCTGAAGGAGGCTGGGGTCAGCTGTTGAATCAGATCATGTTGTTCAGAGATTTTTGCAATCAGGTTTTGAAGATCTCCAAAGTAAGAAAGATGGATAAGGTATCTGAGCAACCCCAGATATATTTTCCTTGCTCTTCTGGCACCATATACTTCAGCCAGTACAGCCCAATTTGCTGTTAGCTTTTGTTATGCTGCCAGGATTTGTGTTGCAGATTCAGGATCTTACCTGTGTGATCATAGATTGCAGGTGCACTGGAGTATGGAATCACAAGTGATGATCTATTCTGGTTAAAAGAATCTCCTGGAAAAACGTAAGTTACCTTACCATGGCTTTAATAGATGCTGACATTAGTAGTTTTTCTTTATGGCAAGGTGAAAAAGAAAAAATGTTCAAAATTGCCTTCTATGCACCAGTTTTTCTTCTGTTTTCCTTCTGAAAATATGTTTTGCTATGCATCAACATCACACAACCAACCTTCATTAGTAACTGATGGATTTTCCACCTCCTCCTCTTAGGAAATTCCCTTCTAAAATCAAACTAAATACGAATTTTCACCATGTTTGGTTGAGGTGACTTGTTTGCTGCAGTGATTGCACAAGAAGTCACAAGAGGGCAGCAGGACCTCAACCGAGCGCTGCTCTGCCCTGTTCCTCGCTCCGGGAGGTGTGGAAGTGCTCTTCAGTTCGGGAAGAAACTCCAACATAATTTTATGTTTTCTTAAGTGGTGGCAGTTCTGATAACACAAGCAAAAATGATGAGGCATTTGGGTTACTTCTGTTTTGGATGCTTTTGTTTAGCTGAAATATTAAAACATTGGTTTTACTAGAAACACTAAAATGCCAAATTCTCTGGTTTTTGCAGTTCACAGCACAGTAAGATTTCAAGTCAACACTGCACTACAGAGCAGTTTCCTGAGGCAAATAATTGTGATAGAAGTGCACTTTTGCTGGCATGAAAGTCAGATAATACTATTTTTTATTGTCTCTATGGAGCAATTCTAGAAAATGCAAAGTATATATATAAGAAAGAGACTTCAGACTCTAACAGTGGTGTTCTGAAAGAACAGAGTTGCCATTCATGGCAGTGACTTTCTAGCAAAAAAAATGCACTGTGTTAAGCTAAACATCAAATAGATAAATAAGGCTCCTTGGTACAGTTTTTAAAAGAAAGTAAACTTGCTGTTTGTAGTGTATCAGTCACCTCTTGAATTCTGAGAGCATGATTTATGTGAGGAAATGGTTCTTATAAAAAACCCAACACCAACACCTCCCAAAAACCCCAAACCAACACATTAGATTTATCCCTCTAAGATGTTTCTGTGAAAATGTGGCTTTTGTCCAGTTGCTGCTAATGCAAGTTGTAACAGTGTAATGTGGGAGTCTGGTGTTTATATATTGCATTCCTGAGATTTAGTCAAAATAAGCCTGCAGGGGCTACAGTAGCATTTCTGTGCTTTATCAGGCTGTGTCCTAGCAGATGGAGGAGGGAGTTGTTAAAGGTTTGTTTCTGTCAGATTTGTTTCTATTCTAAATATTCCCAAGGTTCAGTTTAACACCTTTTGTTTTTAGCCTGAGCTGTGTTGTACTTATTCTTTCTTTTCTCCCTTTCCAAATGTACATTATCTCAGCTACAGCTTACATGCCTGGAGGTTATAGAACTGTCAGTCCTGCAGTTATTCTTTCTTTTTTAAATGCAAACCGTTAACTGACTTAAAAGTGCCTTAGATATACAAACATAGGGAAGAAATTCTCGCTACTGAGGTGAAGGGTTTTGGCAGAGTGAATTAGAAAAGATGCCTTGAAATGTGTTGAGAATGATTGAGAGATTGAGCAGGTGTGAACAAGGTTAGGTTCTGCTTTCCTGACTTTTGTATTAGACACTGACAATGCCCAGGACCCCTCTGCTTTGTACAAGAAATTGTGAATAATGTGGTGCTGGTATCTCCACTAGATATTTCTTTCTGGGCAGCACGTGACTTTTTGCAGCACTTCCCAGGAGCTACATGCTAAAAGAGGAGGTGATCATCCATTCACAGATGAATCAGATGCCCTAATGCTGGAAAAATTATTTCCCACCATGTTAAATTGTTTGCCAAACATTAAAACCCAGACTAGCAGATTTTAATCTCCTTAGCTCAACCTCTTCTCTGTACACCTTCAGAAGTTGTATGTTTTTATTGTAGGATAGAGAGATGTTATCTAGGGTCTTTTGTGAGAAAACATGTGTTGTACTGGCTGTGCAGTCCCTGGGGCTTACGGAGCAGCAGCCTCCATGTCTGCACTCCTCAGAAGCTTAAAAGCATTGCTGTTAGAACTAGGAGATGGTGCAGATTGGTTTAGGGTAAGGCATAGGCCACAAGCCTGTTTAAAAACTTAACAAAATACCTTGTCAATGGAAATACTACATGGGATGCAGCATCAAACCACGAGACTTTAACAAGTCTGTGTACCACAACCAGCCAAGGAGTGCAAGTGCAGCCTGACCAGCAGCTGAGTGTTAAGGGCTGGTTGGACCCACTTGTACTTCCAGAACAGGGACTGAGTGTTCTGCCTTTTGTACCCAACAGATGTAAGGAACTGAGGATATGGTCAGGAGGGAGAGGACTGCTCAGTGCAGAGGGTATCTGGGGACAAGCATGGCAACTGTGCTGGAGAGCTGATACAGCTCATAAACTGAAAGTGCTGATGGACAATTTTAGTGATACGCTTGGTTGAAAGGGTGTGAAATATGGGGAGAGATGGGAGGTGGATTTTTATTTAAGAACTAGAATGGATGTATTTGGTAAATACCAGTCTAGATCCATCCATTAAACCCATTTTCTGTCATTGTGTACACAAACATTTGAAGACAGGAAGGGCAAATATTTGGCATTTAAAAAAATAAGATGATTAAAAAGCAAATTATTATAAATCAAAATGAAATTTAGCAATTAATAAAATCTTATATTGGAAACTGTAATCTACTTTATAGGAAGACATAATCTACTTGATAGACTGCCCCCATGTGCTGAAAGATGAGCCATCGGGGAAGAATATCAGCCTGACCAAATAGAGAGCTTTGGCTGGAACTCAGGAAAAAAAAAGAGTTTATGCCCTTGGGAAAAGGGGCAGAGAACTCCAGAGGACTACAAGGATGTTATCAGGTTATACAGGGAGAAAATTAGAGGGGCCAAGGCCCAATTAGAACTTAATCTGGCTACTTCTGTAAAAGGCAATAAAAATGTTTCTATAAATACACGAGCAACAAAAGGAGGGCTAAGGAGAATCTCCATCCTTTATTGGATGTGGGGGGAAGACAGTGACAAAGGATGAGAAAAAGGCTGAGATGAGGTACTTAATGCCTTCTTTGCCTCAGTCCTTAACAGACAAGTTGTTCTCTGGACACACAAACCCTGAGGTGGAGACAGGGCAAGGAGTGGAATGATGCCCCCAAAATTCATGAGGAAATGGTTAGGAAGCTGCTACACCACTTGGACATGCACAGGTCCATGGGGCTGGATGGGATCCACCCGAGGGTACTGAGGGAGCTGTTGGAGGAGCTCACTGAGCCACTCACCATCGTTTACCAGCAGCCCTGGCTAACCAGGGAGGTCCCAGCTGGCTGGCAGTTGGCAAATGTGGGGCCCATCAGTAATTTGTAACTATTCCTGCTCTAGAAAATAATTTTTTGGTTGTACATAAATATGCACATGTTCATTCCACTGCTTTATGCTTTTTTCTTTCTGTATAACAAACAGGTTGATTGTTGGAGCCAGCTGTATCCTTTGGAAAACTTGGGATGATTGATGATTATAAGCAGCATAGGTGTCTCTCCTCTGAAAGCTCAGTGTTCAGAATTCCTTTGCTCATGCCATACAGTTGAGTTGGTAAGACAATAGGAATAGTTTTCTATGCAGTAGCATGTAGTGGTGGTGAATGGTGCCCCATCGAGTTCATGGCCGG